TTAATTATTTATTAAAATTAAAATTTTATTAAATTAAGTTTTAAATAAAAATTTTTATTTATAGTTTATAATTAAATAAATTTGTATTTAATTTCAACCTAAATTCCGGTGGCACCACCTTAATTAGATAAATAGAGATACTGAATTATTTAATTATTTATTAAAATTAAAATTTTATTAAATTAAGTTTTAAATAAAAATTTTTATTTATAGTTTATAATTAAATAAATTTGTATTTAATTTCAACCTAAATTCCGGTGGCACCACCTTAATTAGATAAATAGAGATACTGAATTATTTAATTATTTATTAAAATTAAAATTTTATTAAATTAAGTTTTAAATAAAAATTTTTATTTATAGTTTATAATTAAATAAATTTGTATTTAATTTCAACCTAAATTCCGGTGGCACCACCTTAATTAGATAAATAGAAATACTGAATTATTTAATTATTTATTAAAATTAAAATTTTATTAAATTAAGTTTTAAATAAAAATTTTTATTTATAGTTTATAATTAAATAAATTTGTATTTAATTTCAACCTAAATTCCGGTGGCACCACCTTAATTAGATAAATAGAGATACTGAATTATTTAATTATTTATTAAAATTAAAATTTTATTAAATTAGGTTTAGGAAATTTTAATAGAAACGTTATGTTATAAATTGGGTTATTTTGGTTAAAGTTTTTAAACTTAGATTTAATATGGAAATTTAATTTAAATGTAAATTTTAGTTAGAATTAGAATTTATTTAAATAATTTATTTTATTTGTATTTGCAATAAAGAATATTATATATTTGGTTGTTCAAGATATAGAAATTTTTCAAAGTACAGGCAAAATTTGTGCCAGCAGCTGCGGTTAGACAGATTGTGCAATTTTAAATGATTGGAATCAGTAAATTTGATGTTTATAAGATTATATAATAAGCTTATTAGGTGAAATTTTAAGTTTTTTATTGTCTTTTTTTTGAGGCTGGAAAATTTAATTAAAAACTAGGATTAGATACCCTATTATATAAGTGTGAATGTTTTTCCTAATTAGTAGTAGTTATGTTCTTGGAAATTAATAAAGTTGGCGGTATTTTAGTCTGTTCAGAGGAACCTGTCCTATAATTGATATTCCACGATTTTATTTACTTGCTTTTTTAGTTTGTGTATGGCTGTGGGTTGAATGTTTTTATTGGATTATAATGTTCAAGATTTTTATTTAAATAAAATCAGGTCAATATGTAGTTTATAGGTAAGATGAGATGGGTTACATTAAATTTATTTATGGATTTTTTATTTAAATATTTAAATGAAATTGGATTTGATAGTAAGTTTATTAAAAAAGTAGGTTGATTATAGCTCTAAAATATGCACATATCGCCCGTCGCTTCCATCCTAAGGTGGAATAAGTCGTAACATAGTAGATGTACTGGAAAGTGCCTCTAGAAAGACGAGCTAAAGCTTTAAGAAGCATTTTATTTACATTAAAAAGATTATTTTAATATAGCTTGAATTTAATATTTTATTTGTTATAAAAGTTTATTTTATTTAAAGGAAAAATCATTTATTTTATTAGTTTTTTTGAAAAAATTTTTTTTATGATAGTTTAGTAGTATTGAAGAAGAATATTTTTAAATTTTGTTAAGAAAAATTGATTTTTTGTACCTTTTGTATCAGGGTTTATTTATAAATAATTATTTTTTAGTTTTCTCGAATCTAGAAGATCTATTAATTTATAATTTTTATTGTTAAATAACTATTATTAATAAATTTATGGAAGTGAAATGCTTTTCGATTTTAGATATATCTAGTTTCTAAAGAAAAAAATTTAATTTTGTTTTTTTTTATGAAAGTAAGCTTAGTTATTAGTTTCTTTTTGGAAAAATTGAAAAATTATAGGATGAGCTTGTAATTTTGGAGTATAATTTTTTATGTTTTATTTATAGTAGGATTAATAGTTTCTATCTTTAATGGTTTTATAACTTTATAATGTTAAATAAAAGATTTTGTTTTTGTTGCTTTCTATATTTAGAAAAATGAGTTAATTTTTTTTTTGTTGTTAAAATGATGGGATTAGTATATTTAATGTTAAATTATTTTTTATTTTTTAGGTTAGCTAAAGTAATTCGGCAAATAATTTTTCACCTGTTTAATAAAAACATGGCCTTTTGATTATAATTTAAGGTCAAGCCTGCCCAATGATTTATTTAATGGCCGCGGTATTTTGACCGTGCAAAGGTAGCATAATCATTAGTTTTTTAATTGAAAGCTGGAATGAATGGTTGGATGAGAAAATGACTGTCTCTGGTTAATTTTTATAGAATTTTATTTTTGAGTTAAAAAGCTTAAATTTTTATAAAAGACGAGAAGACCCTATAGAGTTTTATATTTAGTCAAGAAATAATGTTTAGTATTTAATTTTGTTTTTTGTTTGATTATTTGGTTGGGGTGACTGGGAAATTAATTTAACTTTCTTGTTTTTTTACACTAATAAGTGAATTTTTGATCCTTTTTGAGATTTATAGATTAAATTACCTTAGGGATAACAGCGTTATTTTTCTTGAGAGTTCTTATCGAAAGAAAAGTTTGCGACCTCGATGTTGGATTAAAATGAATTTTTGGTGTAGAAGCTAAAAGATTAAGTCTGTTCGACTTTTGAAATTTTACATGATCTGAGTTTAGACCGGCGTGAGCCAGGTTGGTTTCTATCTTTATATTTAATAATACTTTAGTACGAAAGGACCAGGTATTAGTTTAATTAAATTAATATTAGAATACTATTTTGGCAGATTAGTGCGATAGATTTAGGATCTTTATATGTAGTTTTACAAATAGTAATTTTGTTTATTGATTTATTTTTAATTTTTATTTCTAATTTAATTCTTTTTGTTTGTGTTTTAGTTGGGGTGGCTTTTTTAACTCTTTTTGAGCGTAAAGTTTTAAGCTATATTCATATTCGTAAAGGCCCTAATAAGGTTGGGTTTATAGGCCTTTTGCAGCCTTTTAGAGACGCTATTAAACTTTTTACAAAGGAGCAGAGCTTGCCCCTAGCTTCAAATTTGTGAATTTTTTATTTGTCACCTGTTTTTAGCATTATTTTTATGCTTATTATTTGATTATGTATTCCTTTCTTTTCTATGTCTTTTTCTTTTAGGTTTTCTCTTTTGTTTATACTGAGAGTTTCAAGTTTGGGGGTTTATACTGTAATGCTGGCGGGCTGATCTTCCAATTCTAATTATTCTATATTAGGAAGAATTCGTTCGGTTGCTCAAGTCATTTCTTATGAGGTTAGGTTGGTCTTGATTTTTTTATCTTTTTTATTTTTGTTTTCAAGATTTAATTTATTTAGTTTGTATAAATTTCAAGAGTATTTGTGATTTGTTTTTTTATTAATACCTCTTTGTTTTATAATGTTGATTTCATTATTGGCAGAAACAAATCGAAGACCTTTTGATTTTGCTGAAGGTGAGTCAGAGCTTGTTTCCGGGTTTAATGTCGAATATGGTAGAGGTGGTTTTGCATTAATTTTTATGGCTGAATATGGGAGAATTTTATTTATAAGTTTTATTTTTTCTTTATTTGCTTTGGGCGGGGATTTTATAAGTTTTTTGTTTTTTATTAAGTTTATTCTTGTGGTTTTTTTGTGGATTTGATTTCGTGGGACTTTACCGCGTTATCGATATGATAAATTGATAAGGTTAGTATGAAAAATTTATTTACCTGTTGCTTTAAATTTATTTATTTTTTATTTTAGGCTCGGTCTTTTTTCTTTATTTTTTTTTATTTAGTTAATTTTTTTTAGTACCAAGTTAATAGAAGGTTTTACTTCTTTTTTATACTTTCAAAATATATACTTTACAAGTTCATTAACTAGTTATAAATTAGTTTATCTCAAAAAAGGGATGAAATGGGATTAATAAAATAGTAAAGGAAATATACAATGGTTAATATTTGTCCTGTGAGAATATAAGGGTCTTCTACTGGGCGTGCCCCGATTCATGTTAATAGTACTACTGTTGCTAGGAATCTTCAAAATCATATTTTTCTTAGGGGGTAGAATTGTGTTCTTGAAATTTTTTTGTTATTAATAAATGGTATAATATAGAGAATGGCGATTGATGCTACTAGGGCAAGCACTCCCCCTAACTTATTAGGGATTGAACGTAAGATTGCATAGGCGAATAGAAAATATCATTCGGGCTTAATATGTGTAGGAGTTACTAAGGGGTTCGCGGGGGTGAAATTATCAGGGTCTCCCAGTAGATATGGACTTTTTAGGGATAGGGTTAATAGAAAGAAAATTATGATAATAAAGCCAACTGCATCTTTTAGAGTAAAATAAGGGTGAAATAGGGTTTTATCAATATTTCTTTTCAATCCCAAAGGATTGTTTGATCCTGTTTGATGGAGATAAAGTAGGTGGATTATTACTAGTGCTGATACAATGAATGGTAAGATAAAGTGGAATGCAAAAAATCGAGTTAAAGTTGCGTTATCTACTGCAAAACCCCCTCATAATCATTGAACAATAGTTCTTCCTAAATATGGAATTGCTGATACGAGGTTGGTAATTACAGTTGCCCCTCAGAAGGATATTTGCCCCCATGGGAGAACATACCCTAGGAATCCTGTTGCTATTACTATAAAAAAAATTGTTACTCCTGTTATTCAGGTTTCTTTTAAATGGTATGATCTATAATAAATTCCTCGTCCAATATGTATGTATAAGCAGATGAAAAAAAATGAAGCCCCATTTGCATGCAGAGTTCGGATTAGTCATCCTATATTTACATTTCGTATAATGTGTGATACTCTATTAAAGGCTAAGTCTACATTAGGGCAATAATTTATTGCTAAAAATAGTCCTGTTATAATTTGAATTATTAAACATAATCCTAATAGTCTTCCGAAATTTCATATTGATGAAATATTTGATGGTGTTGGTAGTTTTACTAGCGAATTTCTTGCGATTTTAATCAGGGGGGAATTTAAAACTTGTTTTGTCATTAGTTTTGTCGTAATGGGCCTATTGTTTTGTTAGAGATTTTTACTACGGCGATGAGGGCTACAAATAGGTATATTATTAGTAGAATTGCTATTTGTATTTTTGGAAAATTGAAAAATTTTCTTAAGGTTGTTCTTATTTCTAAATCTTTTCTTGAAAAATTTTCTGTTTTGTTTTTTGAGAACAGTAGTAATATAATTGTTATGGTTAAAATTATTTTTTTTGCAGATGAGGGTATTTTGAATTTTTCGTTTGAGGCAATTCTTGTTATGTAGATAAACATGATTATGATTCCTCCAATCATGATTAAAAATAGAATGTACCTAAATCAGAAATTTTTATAAATTAGGCCTGATATGATTGCAGTTAATAGGGCTTGAAGAAGTAAAGCTATCCCTATTGATAATGGATGATTTAAAAATAGTAGAGTAATTGAAGTGTAGCTTATTAAGATAAGAATTATTTCAGAAAATAGTTTATTTAAAATAGTAATTTTGGAGATTACAGATAGGGCTTTCTTTTTTCTGAAGCTTTAAAAGATTACTTATTTTTGGTTTACAAGACCAATATTTTATTTAAATTACTAAAGCTTTAATGATAGATTATATGGATCTTTTAACTGTTATGTTTGTTTGTAGGATAATTGTTTATGTTTTGGGAAAAAAGCATTTTTTATTAATACTTCTTTGCTTAGAGTTTATGGTATTATCTGTTTTTCTTTTTCTTTTCTTGTATTTTTACTATTTTAATTATGAATTTTTTTTTTCTTCTTATTTTTTGTCTGTAACAGTTTGTGAAAGTGTTCTTGGCCTTTCTTTGTTGGTTTTTGTTATTCGAACCCATGGAAATGATTGCCTTGTTTTGATTGATAGTTTATGATAAGTATTTTGTGTTTTTTACTGGTGTTAAGATTTTTTGGCTTTATATTTTGGGAGTTTTTGTTTTTCTTGTTTGTTTGTTTTTTTTTGTTTTTTGTTAAATATCCTTTGGGTGTTTCTTATTTGTCTTATTTTATAGGAGTTGATATGCTGTCTTTTTCTCTTTGTTGTTTAAGGTTTTGGATTAGTTCTTTGATGGTGTTAGCTTCTGGTAATTTAAAGAAGAAGTCTTTTTTTAATGAATTTTTTATTTTGGTAGTTCTATTTTTATTAATAAGTTTAATTTTGACTTTTATATCCTTAAATTTATTTGTTTTTTATTTATTTTTTGAGATTAGTCTAATTCCCACTTTTATTTTGATTGTGGGCTGGGGCAACCAGCCCGAACGCTTATTGGCTGGTGTTTATCTTCTTTTTTATACATTATTAGCTTCTTTACCTATATTGGCTGGTTTATTTTATTTGAAAAATTTAAATTTTTCTTTGGAATTTTATTTTTTATTTAATAAGGAATCTTTTTTTTTGTATTTATGTATTAATTTAGTGTTTTTTGTTAAAATTCCTATATTTATGGTTCATTTATGATTACCTAAGGCTCATGTCGAAGCGCCTGTTTCTGGTTCAATAATTTTGGCAGGAATTATACTTAAATTAGGGGGTTATGGTATTCTTCGGTTTATAAAAATGTTTATAACAATTGGGTTGAAGTTGAATTTTTTTTTTATTATTATTTCTTTGGTTGGGGCTGTTATTATTTCTATGGTTTGTGTACGTCAAAGAGATCTTAAAATATTAATTGCTTATTCTTCTGTTTCTCACATGGGCGTTGCATTGGCCGGGATTATAACTTTAAATCTTTGGGGCGCTTGAGGGGGTCTTTTGATAATATTGGCCCATGGCCTTAGGTCTTCTGGGCTTTTTTGTTTAGCTAATATTAGGTATGAACGTACTCATAGTCGTAGATTTTTTTTAAATAAGGGTTTAATACAGATTATACCTAGTTTATCACTGTGATGATTTCTTTTATGTACTAGTAATATAGCAGCTCCCCCTTCTCTTAATTTAATAAGAGAGATTATTTTAATAGTGTCGGTTTTCTTGTACAGTAAGATTTTTTTAGTTGTTTTGTTTTTTTTAGCTTTTTATGGGGCTGTTTATTCTCTTTTTTTATATTCTTTTACACAGCATGGTAAGTTTTATCTAGGTCTTTATTCTTTTTATTTAGTAAATTTGCGTGAATTTTTATTGGTTTTTTTACATTGAGTTCCGCTTAATCTTTTATTTTTGAAGCCTGAATTTTTGCTTTGAGTATGCTTAAATAGTTTAATAGAAAACCTTAATTTGTGGAATTAGAAATATCGTCATAGTTTTTAAGCAATTCTTATGTGTAAGTTGTTTTCAACTTTTTTTTTTGTTTTTGCTGTGTTTTGTTTTTTTTTATCTTTAGTTTTTATTATTAGAGATTTAAGTTATTTTGTTGAGTTTTTTTTAACTAATGTTTTTATTTTTAATATTGAATTTGTTATGTTTATTGATTGAAAGTCGTTGTTGTTTATGAGATTTGTTTGTTATATTTCTTCTATAGTTTTAAAATATAGAGAAGTTTATATAGAGGGGGATTTAACTTTAGATCGATTTGTTTTGTTGAAGGTTTTATTTGTTTTTTCAATAATGTTTATGATTTTAGGTTATAATTTGGTTAGAATTTTGCTTGGCTGGGATGGACTTGGATTAGTGTCTTATGCTTTAGTTATTTATTATCAAAACATTAAGTCTTTCAATGCTGGCATGATTACAGCTCTATCTAATCGAGTGGGAGATGCGGCTTTATTGTCTGCTATTATATGAATAATCTCCTGTGGAAGGTGGAACTTGGAATTTTATTTGGAGGGCAGTAATTATGGTTTAGGAATGGTTTCGTTATTTATTATTTTAGCGGGTATAACTAAGAGAGCTCAGATCCCTTTTTCTTCTTGGCTACCTGCAGCTATAGCTGCTCCTACACCTGTTTCTTCCCTTGTTCACTCATCTACATTGGTTACTGCCGGGGTTTATCTATTTATTCGTAGATTTTCTTTATTTTCTTTTAATTGTTTATTTTTTCTTTTGTTAATTTCTATACTTACAATATTTATATCTGGGCTTTGTGCAAATTTTGAGTATGATTTGAAAAAAATTATTGCCCTGTCTACTTTAAGTCAATTAGGGATAATAATTGTGATTCTTTGTTTGGGGGACCCTGAGTTGGCTTTATTCCATCTTTTAGTTCATGCATTGTTTAAGGCTTTACTATTTATGTGTGCAGGTATAGTGATTCATAATTTATCTAATTGTCAGGATATTCGACGAATAGGCGGCTTATGCGAGGCTATACCATTTACTATGACTTGTTTTAATATAAGAAACTTTGCTCTTTGTGGCTTGCCCTTTATATCTGGATTTTATTCTAAGGATTTAATTGCAGAGGTTTTGTCTAGAAGAAGGTTGGGTATTATAATATATTTATTGTTTTATATTTCTGTAGGTTTAACAGTAGCATACTCATTGCGTCTTTCTTATTTTATTTTATGAGGAGAATTTAATTTTGGTACATTAATTAACTTTGGTGATAAGAGGATTACAGTGGCTAAAAGTATACTTGGGCTTATTTTTTTTGTGGTTTTTATAGGGTCTTTATTATCTTGAGTTATTTTTCCTTACCCTTATTTCATTATTTTGCCTTTTTCTTTAAAGTTAATAACTTTATTTTTTATTTTTCTTGGGGGAATTTTAGGGGCTATATTTCAAGAAATGATTTATTTTTATAATTTGAAGTCTTTACGGGCTTATTTATTGACAGTTTTTTTTTCAGGGATGTGACATATGCCCACCCTTTCTACCATGGGTCACACGTTTTATTTCTTGTTAGCAGGTAAAAGCTATTATAAACTTTTTGATCATGGGTGATTCGAACTATACGGTAAGACTGGTTTATTAAATGTTTTACTTTATTTAACTAAAAAGCTTCAAAATTTATCTTTTAATAATTTAAAAATTGTTTTATTTATTATTTTAATTTATTTAATTGGTATTTTACTGTTATTTTATCTAAATAGCTTATATAGAGCTTGGCTTTGAAGCAGCTACGGAGAATTTATCTTTAGGTAATTTATAAAATTTTAATTTTAATTTTGCAATGAAAATGCAATGTTTTTTTTAAACTATATAAATAGAACTAAAAACAGATTTCACTGCTTAAGGATAAGTTAGAAGCTTTTCCTTGAGGTTACTTAATTCTTTAATAGGGTATTAACCATTTTAATCATTAACAGTGATTTACCTCTTTTTGGTTTCTATTAAGGGGTTAAATCTAGACAGTTAATTTAATAAAAATTTAAGTTTGATGGTTAATTTTATTTTTAATTTAATATAGAATTATTTCCATTTCTAATAGAGGTGGTGCCACCAGAATTTTAGGTCGAAACTAAATACAAATTTTGTTTTCTATTAAAGATAAATCAAAAGATAATTTTTAAATGCAATTTAACTGTTTTTTTTAAACTATTATCCTAGATGGTTCAATTAAGGGCTCCTTGTTTTATTTCGTGGATTAGCCCTAATGTGATTGTTATTATGAATACAATGCTAGTTCTCAGTAGGATTATTGGTCTTGATGTTTTTATAATTATAACTAGGGGTAGAAGGAGTGTTAATTCAATATCAAAAATAATAAAGATGATTGCGATTAGGAAAAAGTGGATAGAAAACGGCATGCGTGCAAAATTTTTAGGGTCGAATCCGCACTCAAAGGGTCTTGCTTTTTCTCGATCATTATTTATTTTTTTCGAGAAAAGATTTAATAAAATTACTAGAATTATGATTAGCAGGGTGGCAGTTGTTCTTATAATTGTTAATATGTTTATTACTTATACTATAATCTAGATTTTTTAATTGGAAGTTAAATGTAATGTTTATACTATATAAGTAGTTATCCACCTCATCAATATATTGATAGGTATAGAAATAATCAAACTACATCTACGAAGTGTCAATATCATGCGGCGGCTTCAAACCCGAAGTGATGCTTGTTGGATATGTGATTTATTTGTAGTCGTGCTAGACAAATTATTAGGAAGGTTGTTCCAATCAGTACATGTAGTCCGTGTAGTCCTGTTGTTATGAAGAATGTTGATCCGAACACTCTATCGGCTAAGGTGAATCTTGCTTCTATATATTCATATCCTTGTAGAATTGAGAAGTAAATTCCTAAGACTACTGTTAGCAGTAGCCTTATTTTTGTTTGTTGTGAGTTGTTTTCTATTAGTCTGTGATGGGATCATGTAATAGTTATTCCTGATGATAATAGGATTAATGTGTTAAGTAGGGGAATTTCGATTGGGTTAAATGTGGAGATCCCCTTTGGGGGTCAGTTTATTCCTAGCTCAATTCTAGGTCTTAGTCTTGCATGAAAAAATGCTCAGAAAAATGCAATGAAGAAGAATACTTCCGAGGTAATGAATAAGATTATTCCTCATCGTAATCCTTTTGATACTTTTAATGTGTGCAATCCTTGGAATGTTCCTTCTCGAACTACGTCTCGTCATCATTGGATTATAATTAATGTAGTTGATACTACCCCTAGTAATAAAAGATTAGGGGTTGATAAGTGAAATCATTTAATTGACCCTGCTAGTAGGGAGAATACTCTTAGAGACCCTAATAATGGTCATGGCCTTGGGTCTACAAGGTGGAATGGGTGATTTTTTGTTTTTTGGTGGCTGGTGTTTTTCATTAATTTGATTCTCTAGAGTATAGGGTTATTAAAACGGAGAATACATATGCTTGAATGATTGATACGGCAGACTCTAGTACTAGGAGTAGGATTTGGGCTATAATTAGCAAATTTAATGTTAAGGAATTAAGCAATCTTCCTGATTGTCCTATAAGAGTGAGAAGGAGGTGACCGGCAATTATATTTGCAGTTAA